ATAAATCACATGTGCAGTCATCATTGTGTAAGGTTTATTCTAAACAATCTACCAATTTTTTCCAGCATTGGTCTCATGTTTGCTTTAACCATATCAGTATAGTCGGAGGCAATTTGTATACAGGAGTATCTGAGACCGTTTGAGGACCACCAAAATTGCCATTGTTTGAATAAAGTATAAGGGGACTGTCCTAACATGAGCATTATTCTGCCCATGTCATGTTATGAATTTGCATATAAAATAAGTTTATGATGATTGGTGTCCACAGCAACTTTCATGTTGTTTCTCAACTTTTGTGCCAAATGTTCTATGGCAGTTGTGAACAACCGAGGGCTGAGGGGGCAACCTTGTCTCATGGATCTCTGTGAATAAAATGCGTCCAATATAGACCCATGTGTCAAAACGAAGGCCAAAGCCAATTTTTTCTAATGTCTTAAACAAATAATCCCATTCAGCACAATCAAAGGCTATCTTTCATAGCCCTGTTCTTAGTATAAGAATGTAAAGCCTCCTTTTAGCTGAGATTCCTGTGTGGTGATATTTTCATTAGCTGTCTTCTTCATAAAAGGAAGCTAAGGAAATAATCCTCGTCCTCAAATATTCTTTCGTAGCATCCCACCAGACACCCATTTTTGTGTCATCTCAGGAAAAAAAATGTATGTCACCCCTAATCATTATAGCAAATAACATGTCTTTAAGTAAGAACACATTCAAACGCCACCAATGACTTTTGGGGGTCTGTCAAATGTTTTTAAGGCATGGAAAAATTGTCCAACTGTAACCATGGTGAAGTCTGCAAAGCCCATTCAATACTAAAGCATTAAAGACTCCAGCATAAATTAATAAGAAAGATTCAGGTTTGCTGCAACCTGATAGACAGGGGGAGAGTCCACTCTGAGAGTGCATCCAGCTCGATACAACACCTACTCCCACCTTTCTTGGATACCGCTTCTCTCCGTAGCCTACGCAGCTTCTCCAGGGATCTCAGGATGTCCTGCATCCTCTTCACATCCGCCTGCTTCTTCCTAACTTCACAAAGGACAGAGTCTGCAGCCATCTTCAGTTCCTTCTCCTGCAACACAAACACTGATGTTAGCATTTGGAACAACACCACACAGGACGACAGGCGCTATGACCTGTGTGGCCACAGCTTGTCATGGCCACAGCTATGACAAGCTGTGGCCATAATGAGCCCTCTTCAGAGCGTTTCATTCTGGGCCTCCATACTTGATGCAGCCCTGACACAAGCGCTTTGGAGCACCTCTTGTTTCCGTACCAACCGCTCTTTAAGCTTGCTGCAGTCTGATTGGCTGCCGCTCATAAACACAGTCTTTGCAGCACTATGATCTGAGCCAAAAGTGGAACAAACTGTCCCAAACATGCAGTTGGCTTCTTAATATGAAACCCTGGCCATGATTACAGCCACGGGAAGTGTAACAGTTAACTCTTTAAACACGTGGCTGACAAAATCGTTCATACCTTTTTCTTCTCCTCCACTTCCTGCATCAGTTTCATCCTCCATTTGTCTACAGCGGTCTCTTTGAGAGACCTGCGCTCTTCCGCGTCTTTCTCCTCCGTCTTTGCTTCTCTCCTGGCTCTGAGTCTGCGGAGCCTCCTGCAAGCAGCCCGGGACACTTGAGCCTTCAGCTCACCTAACCGTGAGGTGTCGGCGAGAAGTCTGGCTTTGTCCGCCAGCTCTGCCTTGATGCCTAAAGCCCTTAAGTATGAGTGCGTCCACTCACCGTCACCGTGCAGAGAGTGAGTCAGAGTGTGACAAAGGTCTTCCAGCCGTGAAATGAGCTGAGCTGCCCCGTACAGAGCCTGTCTGAGGGAGGAGATGGAGCTCAGTTGCGGCGAGTGCTGGCTCTGTAGCCTCCCGCAGCTCTTCTTCCCTGTGGCCTGTAAGAACTGTCTGACCCATTTCGTGTCCTGCTTCCTCTGCCGGGTCACATCATCGTCCGGATCCCGTGTCGCTACCGGGCCGCGGTGCTCCGTGTGGCTGCGGTTTGACGCTAGCTCACGGTCACAGCGAGGAGCGTGAGGCCGTGTTTGGAGTTCCTGGGGGGCTCCGGGGATGCTTGGGAGTGGCACGTTCAGGAGGTGTCCGGGGGGTGGGCAGCCGAAACCAGGCGGGGGCACAGAGGGGTCAAATCCGTAAGGCTGGGCAAAAGGTGGTCCCGTGAAACCCACACCGAAGGGACGAGCGTCGTAAGCCGGCGGAGGCGTCCACGGTGGAGCCGTGAGGTCCGGCTCCCGCGCTTCGTGAAGCCCGGGGTGACTGTACTGCGAGTGCACATAGCGGCTGTTATAGCCCGAAGTGTCTGAGCGGTACGAGCTATCCATGGCCTGGTAACAGTCACCGTATCCTTGAAGAAAACTCGGAACCACACCGCTGAAACAGAACAGTACGCGGCGATTTTCTTCTTTAGTTCTTGATGTTTGTGTGGTAACCAACTTGCGGCTGCATCATCGCCACCTACAGGCGGAAATGTGGAACTCAGCCACTCAGGGGCCGCATCCTTCGACGTACTTGGCCTTCGCAGGCCGGAAGTGCGAGGCTGGTAAATGATGGCGTTTGAACCCTGCATCGAAGGATACACCCGACCCATCTTCAAATCCGGGGAATAGGAGGACGCATTTGTTTTTGTTGTTTTTTTGCAATGCATTTATTGAATAACAAAAACACGGCGCAGTGCAGACGTCACAAGCAGACAAGTACAGATGAAATAAAGGAGCACAAAAAGGACAAACAGTAAAAATAAGTAAACTGCCAAGCAAAATTACATGAAATGTGCAAAGGGTTAACATTTATTATTATTCATCTGCTTCTGCAGCAGCCTTCGTTGCCTCGCTGTGACATAATCAGATTTCAAATCGGTCCGAAAGATTCGCCCCCTGAATTGGGAGACGACAATACACTTCATGTTTGAAAAACATCGTCACAGATTCACTCTTGCTGTTTTGCTTCCACCGCAATAATATCACGCTTCCTGCACAGCTCTCTCTCTCTCTCTCTCCTCGTGCTCCAAGAACAGTTTACCATCAAAAATCTGTTTTCTGCATGATTTGCTTACTTATCGGTCTACTGCAGAATACTTTTAAGGCGGTTGGCTGCTATAAAAAAACAGGCCAAGACAATCTCCTTTATGTTTTTCTGTGTTTTATCCTCATCACTGCAGATAATACAAACCTGGAGCAGTTACGCCAATTAGATTATTAGCTTAAAAGGAAACAGCAGGGGGCGCTGCGCTGGAAGCTTTCGATTCATTCTTCATTAAACCAATAGAAGAAATGGCACGGAGGTGAACGCGGCAGCCAGGAGCTTTTACGGAAGTGTGTGAAAGCAGAGTCACATGAGCAGGCGGCCGCTTAAGAAACGGTACCCCGACATGGACCTGGAGTCTCGAATACGGTGACTGACGTCCACGGGTAGCACGGGAACAGCAGCGTCACGGCGTCTCGGGCCGCGGTGAACATCTGTGGTAAGTGATTTAGCCGGTGCTCTCGTGCAGTTAGCCGCGGAGCTAACAGCAGGTAGCCGCGGCGGGTGGTGTTCTCTCCCCGAACCTCCCCCAGCCGAAGCACGCCGCCATCCTGTGACTGCTACTTTGTGTGTCCACAGATGGACGAGATTAAAGTGTCTCCGGACTACAACTGGTTCAGAAGCACGGTGCCACTGAAGAGAGTGAGTACACAGAGCTGCTCGGCCCACTGCGTCATTAAGGAAGTACACACTTGTTATGTCCTCTCTGTGCATGCGAGGAAAAACAAACTCGCATGCAGTTAGAAGCCAGGTTACTGTTTAGTACAGGTGCATGGCGGAGGCGAGCTGGAACCGAAACTATGATCCGAGCTCACCGAGGCCTTCTGCTCCACTGAACCACAACATGAAGAAAAAGCCATTTTTATTTAACTTTCGTGCTGGATTGAGCAGTATGAAAAACAAAAATGTCAGTAGGCAGTCTAGAGTTTGCACATGTAGTTCGACTAATTACAAAATGATTGTTAAATATTTTTGCGAGCATACCCTGGAGGAGTCGGGGAGAGTTTACAGGAAGTGGCATTAGAAACACAACTTTGAGGGTTTTTTTTAACGTCTGTCCTAAATTACAGACCCTGCTTTTGATGTAAGACAATTTAGACTTTTTTCTTTAATAGTTTTTAAATGCTCATGTTCAAATTTGGCCTCGGACTTTAAAGTGGGGAAAGGTGGGTGGATAGGACTTTAAAAGTAAATGTATGTGATATATGAAGGTATAATTTCAGAATCATCATCATCCATGTCTGAGTTTTCAGAGATGACTGAGCAGGAAACGCTCTAAAAACGTTGTTTGGAGCTGGAGTTGTTTATGTTGTTATACGTGTGTTTCTGACATGGCAGTGTATTTCATTTTGAAATGTCATAGTGATTGTGACCGTGCACATGAATACATGGAGGGTTACACGTGGATGCACAAGCATTCTTGTGGTCAGATCACCAGTCGTGTGCTCGGTGTGACCTTTGGCACTGAACATGACAACATCTCATATGATCCACAGGATTTTGGTGCAGCCGCATTTGAGTTGCACCACAAACTAGTTTTACTACATTAGTACATTAGTACTACTATGTACTAGTATGTACCACGTTTCCCCCGTCCATGTGTTAGAGCTGCTCTTCATCACGACATCTTGTCTTTAGTTCCAGTGACACTCCTCCAGGGAGAGTCACAGCAGCTTAGTTCTGCTCACACTAACACACTGCTGTTGGTGGTGCTGTCTGAACATGGGTTCACTCTGTCGCCGTGCCAGGAAATAGTTAGGCTCCAAGTGGTTAGTCTGTGAGCTACTGAATGCCTGGCTGTCCTCAGATCTGGTGTGCATGAGGCTTTCTGCCACTGCAGACTTCCTGCTTTGTTGTCATGTGAGCACTGAAGGCTTCTGTCCTTAACACATGTTGGTCAGTCAGCCATCTGTCACATGGTCACATTTATACTGATGTTGTGTGCAGTAGTCACAGGGCCGCTGCTTTCAGCATCATGTGCTCAGACAGCTAAACTAGGGCGGCATGGACGATAAAAAAAATCTTTTGTTTCCAAGCTTCATTTAATCCACAGCTGTGCAGTGCCCATATTTGTGCAGTAGAGAGTAAAAAGTGTTCAATTTCAATTCAGTTTTATTTGCACAGCGCCAAATCACAGCAACAGTCGCCTCAAGGTGCTTTATATTATAAGGTAGACCCTACAATAGTACACACAGAGAAAACCCCAAAAATCATGACACCCCCCCCTCTAAGCAATCACTTTGGCGACAGTGGGATAGAAAAACTCCCTCTTAACAGGAGGTAACCTCAGGTAGAACCAGGCTCAGGGAGGGGCGGGGCCATCTGCTGTGATTGGTTGGGGTGAGAAGAGAAAGGCAGGATAAAAGATATTAGATAAAGATTTAGCTACTAGCCAAATCCAGTGGAGTGGTTTGGTTTAAACTAGAATAAAACCAACAATGGTCTTAAAAATTATATATTTTAAAATAAAATAATTAAAGACACTACCCAAAAATGGGTTTTAATCTAGTTTAAACCAAAGCACTCCACTGGATTCAGCTACACTTTGGACAGTTTGTCTCTGGAATGAGTAGCTAGCGAGCTGATTGGACACCAAAACAGCCAATCAGAGTGTGTGTGTGTGTGTGTGTTAGCAAACACATATAAATACATTTCTTGCAAGCGGCAATGAATTTTCTTCACTCAAAATAATTTTCTCCTCAAAATGCAACATTTGTATTTGCAAAAATAACAGCATATACTGAGGCATCCAACAGAATGAATGCTGGATAGAAAGCACATGCATAGAAAAATGCTTGGGTAGAGTAGAAGCAGTCCGTTTACCGCAGCATATGTAACATGAGCCAGGCCTGCAGCACTCATCATTCTGTATTTAGTGAACGCTGTAATAAAACTCCAACATGGATACATGTAGTGAGCATTTAGTCACAGATGGGCGGCACGTAGAATGGCCAACAAAGAACCTGGCATCACATTCACGGTGAATGATGAAATGAATATAAAATGTAAT